GTTTTTATGATGCTAAGCAATAGCCTATTCCAGGCTTCCTAATTTGCAGAGCTTTTGGTTAAAAAATGATTTTTAAAAATGTATTTGAAGTATGTTCTGACATGTCCGCCCTCTGTGCCTGGCAGACAAGTCACAGCGTTACCTGATGAGTCAAGAGGTTCTGTACCTGATGTACCTGATCAAGAGTACCTGATGATTCTGCAACACCACCTGATGGCCAACTCGACGGCATTGCTGACCCGAAAAGGAGTCTAGCAGCTGAATGTTCAACTTCTGCCACTGCACTGTTGACTCTGCCTAGAGACAGCATCTGTACCACGGCCCACAGACGATCTTCCGTGGGACGGTGTGCTGCGCACCAGTCACCACACTGACGGCGTTCACCTGTGTGCTGCACAACTTTCTGTGAGGTCAGGAGATCGACACTGACGGCCCCGGACGATGTGCTCTGATTGCGCCGAGTGTGACTGTGCTCCCTCGTATCCGGGCCTTGATGCCAATACCGCACGCGAGGCGGCGCGCGTCCGCCAAGCCCTCACATACTGCGTTCAAGGTGCAGGTGGTGTTCGGTGACAGTGTGCAGCTTCTGCCGGCCCCGTGGACGGCACCGCGTGTGACCATGGCATGTGCATTCGATTTTCTGACATAAGTGCAGTGAATTCATTTGTCATTTTGCTTCTGAATGCTGTCGCCGCTCGGTAGGGTCGATTCTGCCAGAGTAAAGAGGTCGCCACGATCGGCGCCGGTGGGCAAGGAGCAAGGCACTCAGCAATCAGCTGCCGGGAGGTGGCGGCGGCGGCGGCTGACGACTCGGGCCTCGAAAATCCTGTCGTGTGCGTTGCTGGCTATTATGCGTTGTTGGTGTGCGCTGTTTTGCAAGGCCTTTGGAGCGGCATGTCGAGTTTTGAGTTTTGGACGAAGGAGCCTTGGTGTTTTGTTGGTCTATTTTCGATAAAAACGGTCATGAAGAGTGAGCTGTGTCCAGGCTGATTTTAAGATTTCTGTCACAGTATTGTCACCTTTGACCTAGGCTTGTCTCTTCTTGGGTATCGGCATATTGTGCCACCGTCCTTGCCCCGTGTCCGCGCGTGCTGCATTTTTATGTGGTAGCGCGTATGGTGTCATATACTGTCACCTCGCCATGTTTAGTGATATCCACTGTGTGGAAAAATGCATTTTGTTATAAGGGGGGGGGGGGGGGTACACTTGTGTTCCCCAATCCAGCGCTTTAGATAATACAGCATCTGTTTTTGACATAATGAAAGCCTGTGTTTTATGTGGGTGGTAGGCTTCGCCGTTCCTCAGGTCCGTTTCTGGCATTTGAATTTCTGCTACATTTCTAGAATGCCTTTTTTCTGTTTTTCACATACAAAGCACGGTTAAAATGTGTGACCACAAATCACTGTGATTGTCCCATGCTTACCACCAACCATTCCTTCAATGCTAATGTCGTTACAGCGAAGTTATTCATTTATTGAGAACAGGGTTGTAGTTGAATAAACAAGACAGGTGAGCAAAATCTGCAGCACTCGTAGTCTTGGCTGATGCGTTAGGAAAAATGGAGGAACTGCAAGTACACATCACTTTTCAGTTTTATGCTTGAGTGCATTGAATTCCAATGTAGAAGAATCGCAGTTTGATTGTATTTTCATTGATATTATGTATTGTTTCAATAATAGATCTAATAAATATTATTCCAATATTACCTAGACGGTAGTTATCATCCTGCAAAACATGTCCAAATATTTAGTACCTTGAATAATGCAGTAAAATAAGCTGCGCCGCTGCATGTATCAGCAGCGCAATATCTGGTGCCAACTCAAGGTCAAGCGGGTCACGTGACAGTTGAGCGGCGGCTGGCTAGAACAGTCGCCGGCGACTTCAAAATGTTGGAAAAATTGAACTTTCTCGGCAACGCCGACAACTCTTCAATGATTGGCTGACACGACTGCTACGTCACACCCCGGCGACTGGTCAGCTGATATCGACAACTGCGGAGTTGCCGGCGACTGACCCCGGTCGCTGGCGATCGCCGGCGACTGACCCCGGTCGCTGGCGATCGCCGGCGACAGTTGCCGTCGCCGGCGACCGGAAAAGTTGCTACGTGTGAAAGGGCCATAAATCGGTCAAGTGGTTGCTGAGATATAAGCCTCGCAAAAGCGTGACCACGGCCGGCCGCTCATACTCAGAAATTTCCGTTAATCTAAGGAAAGACTACGCTCGCTTCGCTCGCTCCGTAAACACAACACAACACTCGGTAGTTCCATGCTTCACACCAAAGGCGACAGTTAAGTGTGCATCATGTGGAACAGCATTAAAGCGTTTTTGCAAGAAACCGGTTATGTGTGCAAGCATCCAAATTACGGGTATCAATCCTTAGGAGACGAAGTAACTCATAAGTTATGGAAAGTGCACGACTTCATCGCAATGCACTGTAAAACGTGCCGTGATTCCCAGCTATATATGCGAGCTATACCGGTGAGATGAGGTAACGTGCCGCTCCCAAAATCACTGTCCCGTGACGGGTTACCAATACCGTACCGGTGAGCTGGGCCTCTGTTAGTCGGCAGTGGCACCATAAGTTCGTGAGTGATTGTAAATGGGCGCCGAATCGATCTTCTATGATCGCACCGCACTACCGACCACACTGAAAACAATTTAACCCAAAGCTGGCGAGTAAACCGGTGTTTTGCGGGTACCCCTATCCGCAACCATTTTTAACCACCCTCCCAGGAGTACAGTAATTTCCCATTGCAGTGTAGTCGTCCCTGCTCACAGCGGACTTGTTCGCTGACAGCGGTTATATCCGCTCAGAGCAAGTACGACTACACCGCAATGGGGCCTAGCACTACTCCTGGGAGGGTGGTTAAAAATGGTTGCGGATAGGGGTACCCGTGAAACACCGGTTTACTCGCCAGCCTTGGGTTAAATTGTTTTCAGTGCACGATCAATGGCTCTGTATAGGTGAGATATGGCTGGCTCGCTGAAAGGTCTGTGGTCAATGGTCATGTTCTATACATGCTACACGATTGTAGACCGTCGGTTGAGTAAGTAGCATTCGACGGTGAAGGGTCCAAGAGGCGATCCATGCTGAAATCTAGAGTGAGTGGTCTGGGTCCAAAGATGTGTATTTACATCCACAATTTATATGTTGTGACGCCATGTGTATTGTGTAGTCATAATTCAGGAAACATTAGGTATTGCAGGCTAGGCATATATGCATAAAGCAGATAAATATAATAAAGCATTTAAATGGATATAAAAAGTTTGGTACCCGAGATGACATTTCAACAATGAGAATTAGATTGTTCTTTGACTCCTGCACTTGATATACTCTGCACTTGATATACCAATATACTCATGGTGTGCATATTGGCTATGATGTAACTTGTAAGTGCCATTAGTCCCTCCGCAAGAGTGACAGTGGATGGTAATCCATACCCACGCGCTGCCCAGTGCCCACGCAAACCATCGCACAAACAAAGTCAGAGGTCAATGAAATGTGGAAATTTATCCTGCGGGGAGCGGTGAGCGGGGAGTGACCCGCCGGGCGGCAGGTCGGTGGGGTTTCACTCAGACGGCCGAAATGTCCAGACTTCGCCGGCACGAGGAGTGCGGAGAACCTTGAGTGACGAAATTCCGCGCCGGTGACCGGCGGACGGATGTGCCGGAGCGTGAAATTGTCCGTGTTCTTGACAGAACGATGTTGTTTTGTTTCGATGCCAAACATCCTGTCGCTTTTAATTTCAGGAGTCGTACGACTCATTTTGCGCAAATCATACATTTTGGTCCGTCATGACGTTTATTACGACCATTGTCTCTTACCAAGCAGAACACTTCACAATTTAGCAATTTACCTCTTAGATCGATGTCAAAAGTACCTCATATTTTGTGTTTGCAAATGTTGTCGAATAAATTCATGATTGATTTGTTAAAAACCAAGAAGAAGTTATTCTACTTATTGATGCCACAACTAAACTTACTTTATTTGAAGCGTCTAACCCATGAAGAAATACTGTTAAGTATTTCTTCATGGGTTAGACGCTTAAAAAAAAAGTAAGTTTAGTTGTGGCATCAATAAGTAGAATAACCTTCTTGGTTTCCCTGCACTCACGATCTAGACGCCTAGGTAAAGTTATCCATTTTCAAGAAATAACTAGCATATGAAAGACCACTGACCAAGGCGCTGATGAATAACTACGAACACGGAGCATGTCGCAACCGATGTTAGCGCGAAAATGATAAAGACTCGAAACCAGCGCGTTGTCATGTCATAACTTCATTTCTCGCGTGGGAATTCATATTACAAGTTAATACATGGTAGCGCTACAATACAGCGTTCCCAGACGATGTTAACATTTAATCTGTTTCTGCTTGGCCACGAAACTGAATCAGAGGCTGCAATGCCGCAGCGTAAACAATTACCAAAGCAACATGCAGCAATTACAGCCATTGTAGAGTTTTATCTGATTCCTATAGCTCTTGTAAGTGCACTCTGAGCATGGGATTGCTTGCACACTTTTGTTGAGGTCACGTAACACACCAATGCAGAACTAGCTTAATTATGTAACTTTTCCAATGCCGTTAGCTGCACGTCTAGCTCGCCGCTTAGCAACGCTAAAGGCATACACCACTACAGAACAGCGAGCGATTGATAAACATACAACTACATAGATGCTAACAGGTAATACATCATTTTTCAAATTATCAGACATGATTTTCGATTAAAACATTCAAATAAATTCATGATAAGAAGATTTTTTATTGTAAAAGAGGCTTAGTGTAGATTTGGTCAAATTAGGTGCATTCGCGTATCTACGTACCTATCTAGCATGCGTATCTTCATACAATGGCCTCGAAATCCCTTGTCCTCAAGAATACCTTTGCCCTAAAGCTCTCACTCTCATTACCCTTGAATCGCACCACCAAACACTTCCTATGTGACAGAGCGACCATTTAAGATGCCGAAAACTGAAAACTCGGCATGACCTCTGTTCCAGGTGGCTGTGATATGTCACGACAGAAGAGCAGTAGAAGACCGGTGATCAGCGGCATCGCCGTTGCATTTGTAGCTTCACTGATGGCACAGGTAAGCGAATAACTCTGCGCTACGGCAACGTATCCAACTTGGTCTACCTCAGCATTGTGTTGAGGAGGGGAACCGTCAACATAACCAAATAATCGACCTTTTACATTGTGCGTGATTCTTTATACGTCGCAAGCAAATCGATCTCACAAACTAAACGTCCAGGCAACGAAATTAAAATTCTGCAGATTATCATCAAAGCCTTGCTGTCGACTGTCTATGCGGCATAAAATAACATTCTGGACGGTGTAACTCAATCATTCATGAATGCACCCAACTATGTGCGAATTCCATTATGTTTGTATTGTATTGTATTGTATTGCATTGTATTGTATTGTATTGTATTGTATTGTATAACCGTCATGGACAATCAACACGGGGCGTGGCGATTACAGTCGATGACAGTTTATTTAGCTATCGACTATCAAGGTATCAAATTACCCCGCCCTTGGTCCACACCCTGTCCACGGCAGCTGGTGTGGACGGCCGACGTGGACCGGGACCAGATCCAGCGGCTCAAGGACCAGCTGGCTGTGGAGACCCGACCGGCCGGCGATCAGTTCGTCAGGTTCTTCGTACCCCCGCCAGCGCGGTCACTCAACGGTGGGTCACGGGGAAGGGGAGCTGGTGGTGGTGGATGAGGAAGGTTATGCTACGATAATGCTGCGGCTTTTCCACAATGAAGCTCGAAAATAAAAGTACATGATAAACCCGTAAAACTCAATACGCCGCTTTTCAGTTTTCATCTGAGGTCACGACTCACGATGCCTATCACTTTTAGTTTTTTTTTTTGTGGTGTCGTGAAATATCTGACATCTGATTACGCCTAGAACTTTGTAGAACTCACGAGCTCTGTACATACTCAAGACTAAGCTATTTTTGTAAATCTGAGTGCAGATCATGCTTAGTGCTTACTGACAAACCAAGGTCCAATTTCAGCGACTGAAACGGGAACGATCTGCTGGGTGAATGCAACATCTCGGTGACATTGGTCTATAAAACAGTTTATAGAAGAAAAAAAACTGACGGAACTTCAGTCAATCTTCATTTTTGTTCGCTGGCTTTTTTGTATTTTGTTGCTGGGAAAATTTTCGTTATTTCACCATGAAATCATTCGCGCGTTACTTATTGTAGACGTGCAATGCCCACACGATAAGAGACATAATGTTTATGCATTGTTTTGTGTCTCTCCATCATGGGTCATATCTCCTGATCATCTCAGCTTCCTGAGACAGAGTTATTAGTTGTCCACCTGGCTCTCCATGCCTCTCACCAGAGAAAGCGGGAAGCCAGCCGTGACAATTACACAACACTCCGGTCCTGATGATAACTACGGTCCTCGAGCGGCGATATTCCTATCTGTTCACCAAGTACCCAAATCATTAAGCGCTTATCTCGAGCTGCTTCTTTTACAATTGATATGCGTGACGGAAGCCAACTAACTTCCTTATTGACTGCATAGCGTTGCTCAACAAATGAAATAATCAAAGATATCTATAAGAATAAACATTTTCTTCATACAAAGACCCTTTATCTTCATACAATACCGAATGTATCTCGATTCAACAGTTCAGAGCAACACATTTGGCTATTGATAAACATGCAATACATTTTTTTTAACTCCAATGCTTTACTTCAAAAGGTGACTGTCGCCAGTCGTCGGACTAGTTCGAGCAATATCATACACATATACACCTCACAACCTGGGTGTTGGCTTCAACGTTCTATGAAAACATCATCTGACATCTCATACCGTCAATAATGACTTTCAAATGTGAGCCATAATTGAATTTTGTCACGACAACATGCAGAAACGGAAAACGTTCCCGTCAACTAACCGGAAATTAGTTCAGTAAGCAGCCCGAACGAAGAACCAGCCAAGACCAGGTTACCAGGACGACATGCTGTTACTAAATATGACGTATCGTGACTTGACGTGACGTCATGTGTCTCAGCGTGACGTGACGTGATAGCGCACGCCGTGACGCGGTGAGGGCGGTGGCAACGCGACGAGACCGGGTTCCTGGAGGGCCGTTGCGCTTTGTCCGCTAAAGCTGCCGCAGCTCCTCATTCGCCCGCTCGTTATTGGAGCTGCTGTGCGTCTCACCAGCTCCCGCGTCAAGCGTGGCTTGCGTATAGCTCCTCTCCTAGTTTGATACCTGCCACAGCCCCTTGTCTATTGGCCGTAGGTGTAGCAGCTTTTAAAGGAAGGGTGCCACCTTTTGGACACAACGCAGTTTTTACAAGATTAGCCTCACATGAACCTAAAAACCGGCTTCACTTACCTATGCTCGAGACGGTCAGCATTGAATCCGCACGTGAAGTTATCATTTGCGAGTTTTGCTGCCAGCATTCGGGCAGGCAAAAATCTTCAGCACTATTTCCTCGTCGTGTTAAGGGTATTTTATAAAACATGAAATCAGCAAAGGTATGTATAAAAGTTATACTTTTGAAGCATGTTTTATCATTTTGAAAGGGTATATTTTTTCTTTATGGTATACACTTAAGTTTTAAAATTTTAATTGGGAAGTTTTTCTAGTAAGTTGCATGAAGGGTGAAGGGTTCCATAGATCTCTTAGCGTATTTACAAATTGCAACCGAGCTCCGCCGTAGGGTATTTTATTTCCGCCGTAGTGTATTTCACTTGGGGGATTTTCTACCATACATCTGCCTGAGCTTAGGGTAATTACAATTTGTCGGCGACGTTAAAAAATGATGCACTTTTTTCGCAGTATAGGATATCGCATGTGCACATTTCTGCCTTTTTGGGTGCGCTTTATCGGTTTTTCGTGAGTAACTCGCGTAAAAACCGTCCGATCGCGACGAAACTTTCAATGCCCCCGATTTTATCAATTTTACACCTACCCTGAAAATTTCATGACCTGACCCAAATAACCTTTGACTTGTGACCTATTTCTCGAGACCATGTTTGGCCCGAATCGCGATTCGGCGTATGTCGGCTCGCATTAGCCGCGCGGTTGCAGTCTTCACGTGGTTTCAACCGTTGAAACATGTGATATGATGCTGGTCCCATGCATTAGGCCATTAGGGTGGGTGTCAAGGTCACCTGAAGGTCAGGTCAGCTCAATGACCTTTGATGACCTCGGTTCATTTTTCGAGTTTTACATGTTTCTAGGCTAGTTTTTGGAGCTGATTTCGAATTTAGCAACCATTTGAACATTACAGGGGGTGTAACGGAATTATCCGGACACCTTTCTTGCAGCTGTAATTAAAAAGCAAAACAATCTGGTACTTTTTCTTTTAACTGAGCTTGTAGCCACCTTTCATAAAAACACAGTGGTGAATGTTCTGAAGCATTTCAGCCAATGAATTTTCCAGCACACTGGCTTTGATGCGGACCAACGCCGTCTAAATCTGTGCCTGCGGTGGAGCAGTGCTTATGGCGGGTGGCTCTTCATGCACCTCCTGCTGAACAAGAGCCCACAGGTTTTCGATTGAATTGGGATCGCGACTTTTCCCAAGTCATAAGCGTTAGCCCAGAATGATTGAAGGTTCTATCGGCATCACTTCCCGTTCTTTTAGGGACTTTTAAGTAGCGCGCCGCCCCGCATGAAGACACCGTGGCTTGAATCAGGCATCAGTGCGCATTCAGAAACCGTGCCCTCCTATGCCGTCTGGTTGAGCGCCTCCAATCATGCTCCACCACCTTCCCTGGAAAAGCTCCACCCTTGCCTATGGGGCAAAACATAAGGGACAAAAACACAAAACAAGACAGATAAAAACAAAGCAAAATTAACTCATTACCTAATGAAATTCAGGCTGGAGCAAATACATAGGTAATAGGTATCTATGTCAAATTACAATGAAAGATTAAAATCAACCTGACCAGTCCTTACGGTCTGGCCTGGTCCTAACCACCTTACTTCGCCTAACTTAACCCAATTCAACCTAGCCTACCACAACACCTGCAGAGGTAACTTCCTGGGAAAATGACGCCCAGGGAGGTGACTGTCCAACTTATTGGAATACTACCATGATTGCTTGTCAAAATGTGTGTCATCATGCTCTTGTTTGACAAGTGATGTATAATAAATGTGATATTCATAATTATCTCCTGACTGTTGACTGTTAAGTGGTCAAAATATTCAAATAATCAGGGTACAATGCTGTGCATCGTGCACACTATTCATGTTGTTTTTGTGTAGGCCCTCTGCACATTGTTGTGTGCACTGCTATGTGCACCTTAAGTAAAAAAGTGACTGGTGGTACATGACAAAAGGTTGTGCAACTGTGAAGTTCATGCCCTTGGTCAAGCTGGTGCCAAATGCCTATAGCTATAGCAGGATCAGTGAGGGTTGTAGACATGCTACATACATTGTGCATTGAAGATATTGGCACAAAGTTCATCCGTAATTACTATGCTTAACACCTAATGTAAGAAGCGACATAAATGCCCAGATGATAAAACTCTCTGGTCAACATCACACAAATTTATTGACATACTTTGCAGGTAGGTAGGGTAACTTTGGGGAAAACGCACCCCTGGGTTAAACGCCTCCCCTAAAAAATCGTATTTCTTATCGACGGATAGGTGTTTTATCCTGTCTGTCAGAACAGCCAGCTGCTTGTTTACGTAGGTCTCTATTTCCGGTTCTGCGTCTTGAGGAGCAGCGTGGGTAGGTGCTGATGTTGGTTTTGGGTGTGGTTTTTGTTGTTTTTACAGAAGATTCCTAATATTTTGATGCCCTCTTTACATCACAAAACTTGCTATTGTGCACATCACTCAAAACTGCGTTTTATTGTCATTCTGTTGAATGTATTATGCTGCGGCGTTAGTGGCGCGTTTTTTGTCAATATTTTGTTGACCGGAAATGGAGTGGATGGGGCAAGACGCCTACTCGATGCATGGGGCAAGACGCCCCCAGTTTTCTGAAAGGGGGCGTTTTGCACGGTGGTGAGAGTGCAGGGTAGCGCCCTGTAAGTCGGGGCCGAAAAGGCCTCTCCCTGTCCTTTTTTGCTGATATATCCTAAACGACTGCAGATATCGTCACCAAACTTTCAGGACTCCTCTGGGCATCCATTTTACACATTGCAACAAAATTTTATTCCAAAGGCTATGGTAGGTTGACCACAAATGACGTCAGAATGACGTCAAGTTCTGCCATGTTCATCATTTTCTGTTGATGGATGGGGTGGGGGCGCTTTGCACATGGGTGTGGGCGTATTACCCAGGGTATGGGGCAAAACGCCCTTTTGTAAGGGTATGCGAAAACCTTTTTGGGGGGTTAAATACCACACGCAGGTGTCTTTTCTTGGTCTCAAAGCGTAGTAAAAAGAATGAGCTACATGATGGTGCCCAAAGGTTTAAGTAATCTGTGTTGGGTTGAGTGTCAGAAGGTTTCGCGCTTAAGGGGGGCGTTTTTGACCTATTCACCCTACATATTTACGTTCATGGCAAATACTTTCGATTTGATTCTGATTCAGAAACTAGTAGCTAGTAAGCTTGCATTTTTGTAGGTACAACAACGACCATATATTAAATAAAAACCTTCTCATGGCATTCATCACATACCTTTTTACCGAACAAGTACCTAGCTACCATGCAATGATTCTAATTTTTTTCCGCAATCCATCTTTATCTCAACTGACACAATGAATTTGAAATACCCTAACAAAACCTATAACTGTACATAAGAAGAATGCAATACTACAAGAACTATGAATTTCTGAAGTTATTCTCACATGCTGGAATGTTGAAACTCTACTTTTGTCGTCCATTTCCACGTTTGATTGAGCCATCATATCGAACTGTTTTCGTTCTTCAGTCACAAGCTTTCGCACAAATCTTGAATTTTTACGCATCATCTTGAACCATGCTCCAGTGTTTCCAACAAGGTACTATGTAACCTCAAAGCAATCTTGATTTGTTACAACAGCTTCAGATCATGATAGGCTTGAGGTTTGTTACACCATTTGCCAGACAAATCTCTACAAAATGTGTATCAATTCCCAAACTAAGTAATTGATCATATCAGTATTTGCAGTTTCCACAAAATATTTCATAATACTTTTCTATGTTTATATAAAGAAACTCAAATAATCCACAAATTGTTAATGAAACACTCCCACTTCAAGAATTCACAGCAATAACAGTACAAGTTCAGAAGGTTGGTTGGTTTGGGTTAAGCACCACATCCAGTGGACCAAGGTGTAAAGTTCAGAAGCAAACAAACATTGCGCCAGATTTCGTATGAAACGCGCCATCGTCCTGAAGTTTCTACCACAGACGGTAGTTCAACCGCAGCCGTAGTGCAAAAACCCCTGCCCACCTTACCCCACGGCGGAGCTCGGTTGCAATTTGTAAATACGCGATCTCTTAAGCATTGTAAAGGAAAAACCTTTACTCGACTTATTTGATGTTCTTTAACTGTTGGCAAATATGGCCAACAGTTACCTACTTGGTTACCTACAACTTAGTTCAAATCATGTTATCTTCTTCCTTTTTATTTGTTCATCTTTTTGTCTCAGTTGCGCCATCAATGCAAATGGCAGAATGATATGTTGCCATGACAACAGGATATGCCAGCCGTCCTAGCTGCCACATCAAACGACCTTGAGTTGTAGTGGTGATATAAACAACGATCTTTTTTTTTGGCCAATGTATTAAATGCAATGTTTCGGTTTTTTGTATATTGTGGACGCGCTAACCACGTCTAAAAATTCAAATAAGTAAAATAGATTCATAGAACAAAAATTTCGGAAGGTGGCACCCTTCCTTTAAGTCGCTTGTTAGAACTGTTGTATGTCGTTCATTACGTTACCAACGGTAGCTCTCCCCTTACAGTTAAAGCTACGATGGCTCCTCTCCTGTCGTCTACAGCTTCCGCAGCTTTACTTGCTGCTCCCATAGCTGCCACAGCCACTCGCCTGCCCATATTAGTTGCCGCCTGCGGCGGCTCACCCACCCATCCGTGTCAAAGCTGCCAGAGGTCCTCTCCTGTCCGTTACAGCTGCCACAGCACCCTGTTCTGCGAAACTTCAGTAGCTCTGCGGTCGTCCGTTAAAACTGCCGCAGCTATGCTTACTGTCAATTGCCTGAAGCTGCCGCAGCTCGCTGCCTTTCCGTTAGAACTGCCACAAAGTCCTCATTTAGTGCCGGTGGTGGACGGTTCTGCATGGCCGGCCGGCGGTCATCGCTCGCCGAAATTCTGCGGTGGCGGCGCTGACGCGAACTGACGTGAGGTGACCAGTGGCGCACGTGAGAGCCGCCGCCTCCCACGGGCGCCGCCAAGATGTGACACCGTCACGGCAGATTCCCACGGCGGTGTGACGCTGCACCGAACGGTTCCGTCGCTGGGGCACTGGCGGTCCGCTTCCGCAGCCGATGAACTGTGCAGAGGCTTTCGTAGAAGGTCCGCCGGTGGCTGACTTGGAGTTCGTAATTTTTTCACGAGAACATTGCCTTTTTGTGCTAGCCAATTGATTCCATCGGTTTTCCTTCTCGGTCTTAGGGACTTCATCACACAAGCCGACGACGAGTTCATCAGGCCCATTTTGCTATATTATAGCAAAATGGGCCTCTACCGAAGCAAAATCAGCTAGTGGTTTAAGTTTCAAAGAAGCTGTCCTTAATTGTTTTATTCTTATTTTATTTGTCTAGGTAAATGGTCACTGTTTTTTAGTTCCGCGAACTCCTCCGAATCAGCTTGCCCGACTAAATCAACTTTCTCCAACAGCTCGTAAGTGGCGTGTCTGCCTGTCACGTTGGAATCGTTATCTCACGTGTGACGTGTAACACCAGGTGACAAGCGTTACTTCCCTCCGCGGCTCGCTGCGTGCCTTCATACCATACATAGATCCCACTCTCCTTCGTCAGCTATCTAGCGATGGTCCTGTCGACAGAGAGGAACTGTTCAGATTCAGAAGTAACGACAGCTATTCAGAACCCAATTATTCAGGACCGTCTGACAACTATTCAGGATCATCTGAGTTCTGACCCATGTTCTCTGCCTCGTCTCGCGAGCCCCGTGTCAGAGGCAACGACGGCAAAGTGACTGCGAAAACTGTTCTGCTGCCTTGTTGCGCATCTGTTAGATGTGCAGAATTATAGAAATACGAACAAGCCATTCTGATTTATTTTCCATGACTTCCCGTATGCAATCTCCTTTTACACTCTGACCCTCTGTGTTTTCTTGCCTCTGCAGAGTTGGACGTCGATCAGCTGAGCGCGGCCGACCTGATTCGACCTCTGAACGCGCCCCAGATACTCTCCCTGGACGTCAAGTGTGGAGCCGACAACATGCAGATTCAGCTCAAATTCGACAGGCCCTTCAATGGCATCGTTTACTCAAAGGTAAGCCGATGATCTCCGTACATCTTAGTTTCCAAGATTTTTTTATTTCTGCTGTTAGATTTCAGTTTTCACTCTTGTTCACGTATTATGGCAATAGACATGGTAGCACACAATTCATTGTTCTAACATACCTATCTCATTTCCTCTGTTCTGGCATTTCTTTTCGAAATCAATTAAGTACCTACAGCAAACGCATCGTCTACACCGTGGCCGACCGACATCAGCAGTCAGCACCGGCACAGTCTATATGGCCTAGGTCCGAAGGCCAGCCACTTTTGACCAGAATGAGCCCACAACACCAAACCCATTTATCGCTCCATTTCTTGTCATTTTTTTAATTATTTTTTCCCTTTATTTTATTCTATTCTTTTATACACGATTATTACAGGCACGGAATTCAGCGCACACGAATCACGGACAGTGTCACACTACAAACATAAGGCATCGTCTTGTAGAAACGGCGCCCACCTTTCTCTGAATTCATCCAGTTTTCCAATTTTAATGGCAATAACCTTCTCCATATGAAAAGACTTAAGTAATGATGGCCGGAACGCCCGTAGATTGGGTGCACATTCTCCATGGCGGCAGTATACTATGAACTGTTTCGCGACAAGCAATATTAAATTCACGACTGCCCTGAATCTCGTTCCACCGAACAGGATGTCTCTCTCGGTGAAAATTTCGTTCCCTACTTTACGGTTAACTACTTCCAATAACGCGCTCCAAAATGGTTGGACTGCCGAGCAGGTGTAGAATAGGTGGGACAATGTTTCGACTTCACCGCAATGATCACAAAAAGGATCCTCGGTTACACCACGAATAAACAAAAATCTTCTAGTTGGAAAGTAACGGTGCGTTATTCTATATTGCAAACTCTGCAGCCTGGTCGACGCTGTAGCTTGGAACGGCAATGCGTATACCTTTCCCCAGTCCATGCCAAAATCTGTACCTTCAGCTGCCCATCTGGTTTGTGCTGTCGGTAACCGTTCTGCGCGCATGATTTCGTAAAAGGCGCGAGTTTTTAATAGGCTTAGCGGAATGTCTTTACCGCGTAGCGAGAGTGACGGCATTGAGTCTCGATCTTCGGGTGACAGTTGGCAGCTGCCGCGCATTAATCGTTTCCAACTAGCCGGAATGGCTCGACACCATCCCATATATGTTATTGGGTTGATGCGGATGCCGTGTCGAAGTAAAAACGATTCCCAGCTTATGATAACGCCCATCTCGTCCACGATGTCTTCTATTAGACAAATTCCCGCTCTAACTAGTTGCTTGTTGAATAAAGTCTTATTATTGACTTTGAGTGCCTTATTTTGCCATAACAGCTGTTGCCTAACTGCTTTACCGCATTCAGGAGTTTTCGCTGGGTGTATGCTCCGAAACCAGAGTAGCATTTCTTTATAAAAATCCGGGACCTGTCTGTTAATTAGCCAGCGTTCTTCAAAGTCTGTGTTTAAAACATTGCCGAGCCTAAACCCTAGCCTATTTTGCAATGCTTTCACAAACGTTGCTCCCTTATGCTTTGCCATCCTACCAAGCCAAGATATTCTGCACGCCTTATTGGTTAATAACAGGTCCGGTGCATTTAATCCCCCCTTTTCGACGGGCATGATGATCGTCGATTTGGCCACCTTGGGCGGCCGTCCTCGCCACAGAAAGTTCATGATGTGGCTCTGTATCATGGCCAAATGCTTTTCTTCCATTCTTGTGACAACCATGTGATACACGAGTTGAGAAACTACTAGGGCTTTTGCAACCGTTATTTTCCCTTTTAGGGTGAGTGCTCTTTGTGACCAGTCTTGGAGCGTGCCTTTAACCCGTGAGTCGATGGCTTCAAAATTGATAGGTGCACAATTCTGGGTAGCGCTAAACCATACACCGAGAATTTTCGTTTTTTTAACTGGTGAGCATCCACAGATTGTTTGCTCGCAGTCTTTCTTTGAGCCAACCCACATAAACTCACACTTCCTCATATTTAATTCTAGCCCAGACAAATTGCCGAATTCCCGAACCAAGGCAATGGCTTTAACAGCAGATACGTGGTCCTGTACAAATAAGGTCATATCGTCGCAGTATTGAGTTGACTTGAAAATCTCGCCCGATACATTAATACCTCGGACCTCGTTCGCGCTACGGATCTTAATGGCTAGAGTTTCTAGCACGAGTGCGAAGAGTAGCCCACTCATTGGACATCCCTGCTGTAGTCCCCTACCTGCTGAGAACCATGGTGAGGTGAACCCGTTGTTGATAACGGCTAACTCGTTTCTGTTGTGCAAAAGTTTAACCCATTGAATGAAATTTTCGCCGAAGTTAAACAGTTTTAAAACTTCATACAGAAACGCGTGCTCAACACTATTGAAAGCATTGCGGAAATCGAGGGCCATAATTATTCCTTCTAGCTTGTCCGCGTTAGTGTAATGAATCACATCAGCGATGGTTCGGAGGTTCGTCCCAATATACCTACCGCGTATTGACCCTGTCTGATCCGGCGACACGATGTCGCGAATGACCGACATCGTGCGATTTGCTAGAACCTTCGCCACTATCTTGTAGATGATATCGAGTAAACAAATTGGTCGTTTATTCTGGATAAGCTTGGGGTCGCCTTTCTTTGGGATTAGAGTTATTACTCCCCTACGCTGGGTGATGAAAAAAGTACCCTCTTCCCTAGCCTGGTTAATGTATAAAACAACGAGATCACCCATTTCTTGCCAAAAGTGTAGGAAAAATTCCTTAGAGAATCCGGAGACGGACGGGGCTTTATTATTCATCATCCCTTTTAATGCTATTTCACATTCCTGTTTACTTATGTCGCCATCACATTTTCTTCTATCTGCCTGGCTCAGTCTGGGAAAATCTGCGGGTATCAGAAAACGGGCCACATCGGGCGGCCCGTCAGCCAAAGCTTGAGTAGCATACAAGCCTTCGAAATAATCCTTGCAATAATTAAGAATTTCTCTATTTCCTGTGATAATTTCCCCGTCAGTTCGCTGCAAAACATGTATACTTTTCTCTTTGTTTCTACGTTCGCATAGCCTCAAAAAGTATTTTGTTGGCCTCTCCCCTTCTTCTAACCACCTAGCCCCCGATCGTATCATGGCAATCTTACCTTTTTCTTCTTCCGCTCGGTCCAAGGTTTCTTGTAACGCTCTGCACCTATCTACTCGCTCAGCTGATGGGTTTTCCGCTATCTCTTGTTGAAGCTTATCCAAGTCGCCAATGAGTGCATTATATTCTTTTCGTCTTTCTTGAGCCTTATGTTTACTAATTTTCATACTACGCACCCTGATCTCACTTAGTAACATTTCTATTTTCAATCCCAGATCAACAATTCCCTCATAGAGTCCCTGGCCGCCATTAGCCTTCATAATCTCCTGCCTCGCCTCGTGAACGAACTGTAGGTCTTCTAACAGGCGGTTATCGAAGCGGAACAGGCCCCTTCCCCTATCATTCGTGTGCACGCTCATTTCTAGATTAACAAGACTGTGATCACTGTAAATACACGGTTTGATCTCAGCCCTTCTAATTACACTATTAGCCGACATGCTCTGAGATACAAAGATATAGCCTATACGGGATCCTTGCACCGGATTGTATCTTCGCCATGTATACCGTCGAGTATTTGCATGCCGCTCCCGCCAAACATCGACCAGACTGCAGTCCTCTAACATGCTTCTAAGTGTTTGCGCCGGTCTTTTATTTCTAAATCGACCTACTTGTACGTCTAGGGGAGAAAGCTGGACATTGAAATCCCCAGCCATACAAATTTCTGTGTAACCTTCCTCGTAAATGACGTCTAACCTTTGTTTCATATTACTAAAAAAAGTGAGTTGCTGCTGACTATGTCCCTGTGTGGGTGCATATACTGCGAGCAGCGCAAATTTAAGAATCTCGTGATTAAAACCAAGGACGAGAAGCCGGCCATCATTATCGTTGTGCAACACAGTGACATCAAAGGTTAGGGATCTGGGTAATAACACCGCCACACCGCCATCGTGGGTACTGGGCCCGTGCGACAAATATATGGGGCTACCCCATTCTGCTTGCCAGTAAGTGTAATCATGCACACTGCTGTGTGACTCTTGTAGCACTATTATATGATTCGGATAGTGCCGATGGAAAAACCTAAACAGAGACCTTCTTTTTGACATTGACCTCAACCCTCTGGTGTTAAATGTAACAATGTTTAACTCTGGCATCTAGAGGTAAACGAAACCGACCAGCTATATGGACTATCAAACACATCCCAGCCATAAGGGAAGTCCAAATGACACACCGCATATTGACCTTCCTCTAAAAGGCAGCCGTCGATCCCCTCCCCACCCATGCTCACCTCCTCAGACTGCGCTGTCCGGAGTCTCACCGTCCCGTCCCAGCAATCCCGGCGTGACGTCACCCCCCAGCACACCCGCCCCGGCCGCTCGGCCGTCGACTCAGCACTGTGTGACCTCGGCCAACCCCACGGGCAGGGAGGCCGGCGCACGGGCGGCGCCAGCACTCCCGGCGCCGGTCGGCGGTACTCGCTATTCAATACTCGCCGCGTAGCACTCGTTCGCATTGAATGCGGTTCCGCACGCATATTTTTTGACCATGTGGGATCATGCGCACGTAAATGAGGCCATGCCTGGTATGCACACTGCTTATTTCACCTCTCTTACGCGCGGCACGCAGCTTCATGAACGCATTGTGTGCTCCCGTGGTCAGCATCTCGTTGATGTAGATCTGATCTTGTGGCTGTCGTCGGGCTCCATTCCCGTCTCTCTGCAGATGAGTGCGAGCGTCGTAGATAGCGTCTCGGGTGCTACCGGGTCCCCATCTAGCGAACCGGCACACGATTTTCTTGCCTCGCGCCGTCCGGTAGCATTGCACGATGTCCTCCTCATGAACTGTCACCGATGGCACGTGCTGCTGTAGTACGGCTCTGGTGGTAGCCGCGACATCCTCCTTCCAGGGCTCCTCCTCTAGCTCCGGGGGTAGGCCAGGGAGGCCAGGGCCGTCCAGCACTAAATACGGAGTGTTCCCCTCGCGCCGAAGCTCTTCCAGTTCATCCTCCATAAAGTGGATCCTGCTGTCCCGGGAGTCGACGGCTTCGTGCAACTGCTGAATGACGTTGCCCTGGTCGTTGACGTGGCTCTCCAGCTCGACGACTCGCTGACAGAGCCCGGTGATCTCCTCCCTGAGACCGGCCACAGTGTTCTCGAAGCGCTCGGTCAGCTCTGCCGTCTGTTTGTCTAGCGCGCGCTGCAAGAACTGCTGAATTGGACCCAGCTGCTGGTCGGTACTGCAGTCTCCATCATCTGCGGATGTGTCCGAGCTGGTACCGGCACTGACCGCTCGTTGTCGTTTGGCTGGGCTCCGCTGACGATTTAGGCGGTTGACCATGGACCGGACGTCCACCTGCCCACGGCTGCCGCTGAGTGCGCCACTGCGATTGGGGGCGCCGCCGGGCCCAGTGGGCGTCGGGTCGGCCGGCGAGCTCCGAGCCGGGCCGGCGGCCGGCCGACCGCCAGGGGCGTGGGGCGGTAACCGGCTGCGTGGCCGCTGTCCCTTCCCATCGGCAGGCGCACCGGGCTTCTGGCGACTAGACATGGCTTGCAGTCGATGCACTATGTCCCAGCCACTGATGCACGCGAACGGCTTTCGCAAGCAATCTCACTGGTGTCACGACGGAGTGACTGTTTTGGGGCACACCACAGCCGCCCGCCGGGCGGAGGTCAGGTGGGCCGACCAGCACACCGCGGAGCGACCCCGCGCGTGACCGCCCGGGTCAGGGTCAGGCGGCGAACTTCCATTTCTTGTCATTTATTTGCCACCGACACATCAAAGCAATCACTTTGATCAGTACAAGCAATTCAGTTTCAACACTATGAAGGCTCCTTGAAGTGACTGTCCTGCGTATTTCATTGTCAGTTGTCCCCTACCTATATCCCAGCGAACCCGCCCGCCTACTAGACGACAGCAATTACCTCGTCCCGCCCGCGGCATTTCACGGTGTCATTGTCAACAACTTTCCTTCCGGTTTTCGGCACCAACTCGCCGAGCTGTTTGTCGTCAAATTGCCGGCCGAGCGGACGCCATTTTCGGCCGAGCGTGCCGAGTATCGGTCGTTAGTCTCCGTCTCGGCAATCAGAGTGTGTATGTAGTGGAGACGCGTTTGTGACGTCATCACTTCACCGAGCGTGACGTCACACATGGTGTGAGGGGGCGGGTCAAGTGCCGGAAATGGTGAGGTTTAATTGCGGTTAATTGGTTTATGTGACAAAGCTGCACGCTACGATTGGAGAGACGAGCAGCGTTACTACGCATGAAGCTGTAAACAGAACAAATCTAACTATGCCGTCCAGCACCTGTCGTGTTTAATGAGGCATATCATCCCATTTCAGCACTTACCTCACCATATCGACTGTCACCATACATCATAGGACCAGTAACTCAATTGTGGTGATATAGGGATAATTTACGTCCACTGACTACTGATCACCGAAGTCGGCGCGTGTCTGTGGTCGCATCCGTCATGTCGTGTGCACATGAGGCGTGCTCAAGCTAAACTTTGCCCTACCGTGACCACTTACCTACAAACTGGTTACAGTAGTTACACAATTGTAACTTGTGAGGTAATTGCTACTCAGCCATAACTTCTGACAATATACCCTGCTTCTGACCTTCTGGTGGCCTCTGACGTGAGTGATACATTAGAGGCTGAGTATTATACATGGACTCTCTGCATGAGTCCCCATGCTGCATTGTCATTTAGGTACAAATTCTTTTTCACCTTTAGTTCGCCCCTTCAAACTGTCACCCCTCGTCCGATATGACCCCATCGCTGTCTCTGCAGGGCTACTTTTCGTCCAAGAGCTGCCACCATGTGGCCGGTGGAGGCGGGAGGACGTCACGCTCCTTCACCATCGGCGCCGACTCGTGTGGCACGCGCTTTAGTCGCCACGAGGACGGCAGGGAGTACATGGAGAACAGCATCGTCATCCAGAACGACGCCGGACTGCAAAAGGTGGGCTGCTCGACAATGGCGAGGGTCTGAAATCTGTGGCGTCGGGTATACGGACAGCAATTATTTTGTCGAGAGCAGGGGCTGCTTGTAACCTATAATTGTCTGCTTGGATTTTTGTTTGTTTATCTCTTGGACATTTGAGCATACCCGTAAGAGATTTGAAAATCTACATCTATAAATTCATCTGGATATTGGAATCCTATTGTTTGAATTTTCTTTCTCCATCCCTCCGCCATTAGTCAAACAGGAGAGAGTGGATGATAAAACACGTCATGACACACTGACATACAGGACAGGAAATAATTGCTCGTCTCGGCCGAGGCGAGGGAGATCCTCATCAGATAAACGCTATCGCCTCACAGCGACGCGCGCGGTTGAAATAATTACAACAGGCGGACACTTTCTCCTCCTAATTCAAATTATATTTGTGCCCGCGCCCCTGTCCCAGAACAAGCCCCGATAGCCCGCGGTGGACGAAGATACGGCGGAATCCCACCGTGCGTTGACCCCTGGGTCTTGAATGCTAAATGCTGACCTCTGACCCCACCACTCTCACGCCTGACCTCGCGTCAAGATCGAGGTCACAGGGTTAGTCGGTGCTGACACCGGCCGTTCACGACGGCCCGGGCAGGAGGATGATACGCGCACCTGGGCGCAATAATTAGATGTGCGCTCTTGAATTGGAACACCTGTTTCAAGACTTTATCTGACCGCAACATTTTAAAATGTTGTTTTATCATGGGCGGCAATTTTTGCGCCGTCTCTCGACGCCAGTTTACAATAAAATTGCTATTTAGGAATGCGCTACTCACGTAAAAGGTTTCATAGCGATTAACCTAGCTGTGCAGTGTGCTTTCAATAGTTTCATTATGCTCCTGAACCAACGCCCGCACAAAGCCCATAGCTCTCCTGGCCGTGTTGGCGGTGCGGGTAATTAGCATTTAACCCGCCAGTCGGTGAACTTCCTGTTATTCCTGTTACATTTGCCAGCTGATCAAATGGTGCCCGTGAACAGACAAATGCTACCTACTGGTTGTCATATCTCTCGCACATCCGTTCAATCATGCCATCCCTTTTTCGGTGCAAGCCAAAAGGATGTAGATCCTCGCATCTCTAGCAAAGGACCCTAAACATCCTCCCACCATGACGGACGGATTCCGTAGTAGCCCCGAATCACCCACTGATTTCTAAGGAATCTCTGCCCCGGCCGAGCCACTCGGAAGCTGCGTGGTTCCGGTCCGCGCGGCGGCTGTTCCGGTGCCGGGCAGAGCGCGGAGAAGAGGCAGAGTGTCTGTGGTCGGTTCCGGTGTGCCTTTCTCACCCTCGCCGCCAACACGACCTGCGGTTCGGCACCGTTTTCCGCCGCTCTCCGGCGCACCCAGAGAGGTTTCTGTGGGTCCCGGCGCGCCTCTGAAGCGGGGCGAACGGCGTTCAATCATCAGAAGTGACTGTAAAAACCGTGCTGCGCCCCGCACTTATTTATCGCCTGGAGGATGCACCCGTGGTAATACGGGCGGGGTCAACCACCGTGACCTGTCGCCCATACCGTGAACTCGTGCCACCACATTGTACTATACCGCCAACTAACGGAGACTGTCGTATAGTGTTACACAGAGCGAAGCGTGCAGCAAATGTATGTAGTGGGACGAACTGTTGATTGCGGCTAGAATAAGCTACCATTGAAGTAGCGCTGTCGACGGTGTCATCAGTTTGAGTCGCATGCTCCTTTTCGCTATCTCACGGATGCTGGCGTATTTAACGTCCAGGGCCTCGTTTCATAAAGCGAGTCCGTAACTTACGCCGGTTTTTGGTCTTGTATTGCAAGTGCATGTGAAGCAATAAATTTATTTCCCCTTCTCCCTTCTGTTCTTGCTTGCATAATAAATTAATTCAACGATTCAAACTACACGGAAAAAAATATTTACTCCCCTAGGTGGGGTTCTGACGTCCCAAATACAGTACCTATATTAGAGTAGATATTCGCCCTATTTTGGAGTTCTATCCATAACTCCCTAAAACTATCAAAAGGCGATTCATTACTCCCTTGGTGTTTTGAAACTCCCTTGTAAAACGCAATTGAAACTCCCTTTTAGGGAGTGAAAAATAATAGGGAGTAGTGGAACCTAAGAGGAGTAATAAAACTCCTTATTAACTACTCCTTATTCCGGAGTTATGATCGCAAAAGGGAGTTTCACTACTCCTGTTCTGCAAGTGAAACTCCTTTAAATTTGTCTGTGGAGTAATGTCACACCGAAAACGAGACATGCTAAGTGGTTCCAAAACTCCCAAAAAGGTACTCATCCCAAATACAGTACTTATATTAGAGTAGATAAAGTTAACATTCTGGAGTTTTCCAAAAAGGGTGTGATGTCACCCCAAATATACGGGTTGAGTCACTCCTAATTTTGGGCAGGACGCACATTGCACAAGCCCCAACTGACATAATCAGAGCATTTCCAGCTGGAATTTTAACAAATATGGATCATTTATACCGTTATCATTGCAAAAAAAAGTTACTATGATGCTATGACGTGACGTGTGTTGTGAGGCTGAAATAAGAACCAGTCTCTTCCTATTTCTTTCGCGCATTTCGGAGACACAGTTTAGCTATAGTGTAATAAATAACCAGCAGACGGAAAAAAAAAAAATCTCGAGCATATCCAACAAAAACACTGGATTATAAACAATATTTCTTCTGTATTCTCGTCAACCAAATCATGCATGTAACAGCAGATTTAGCACAAGATGGCCAGGAGCCACAAGGATTTGCCACTGGGTTTACAGAAAATCTGCAGCAGCATCCAGTATCATCCAGTATAGCAGCGTCCAGCAAGTACAGCAATGGTGAACGAAGCAGCTATCATAGATGTTAACCCTCGCCCTGGCAGGGGGCGGGGTCGATGCGACCCCACCCCCTAAGGATTTTCAAAGATAGCGTAAAAACGGCGGCGCACAGCACCGCCAAATTTGGCACTGCCTATGGGGCAACCTTTTTACATGAGACCTGAAAATTTCAGATCCGGGTGACCTTGGGTCAGGTCACCAGGTCAGAACAACCGGTACAAGGTCATGGTCAAATTTCAATTTGTTTATGCACCTGTCCAACTCACAATTTTGGACTGATTTCCTTCAAACTTTCAGGATGTACTAAGTTCACCGAGTTGTATAACATATTGTTCGGGTTTTTATGTCGCTGACCTGAGGTCAGTTAGAGGTCATTACGTCGTAATGTTAAGCCTATGGGAAAATATTAAATTCGGAAAATATTGAAGATATCCGCTTCGTTCTATCACTTTTGTGCTTTGAAACCACAGTACTTAGCATTATGCCACTTGGTGCTTCTTTGTTTGGTGTACTTATCCAAGGGTCAGGTCAAATGAGGTCAACTGAGGTCAAATGACGTTTGTGCCGATAACTTGTCACATAATAAAGATAAAGCTTTCAAAATGGTACCATTCTGTTTCTCTTGAACAGCCGAGTCGAATGATATGCAACATTAAGCATTTTGACCATTCTTAAGACTTAAGTTGTACTTAGGTTGTGCTTAGTATTTCAAATACACCTAAGCAAGCAAAAAAAAAAAGTACATCGTTCGACGCGCCTTGACGTGCTGAGTTCACTGTTGCTTTTGTTTTTGTTCTATCTTAATTAGATAAAAAGTTAGAAGCGAAAAACTGTTGACCTGTTTTAGCGTTGCACAGGGGTGAGAACTCCAGGGGGCCCACATACCTACCAAATTTGGTGTTTCTAGGTGCCATAGGAGGCATTAATGTTGCATATCATTCGACTCGGCTGTTCAAGAGGAACAGAATGGTACCATTTTGAAAGCTTTATTTTTATTATGTGACAAGTTATCGGCACAAACGTCATTTGACCTCAGTTGACCTCATTTGACCCAGCCCTTGTTATGAAAAATGACCTGCCAGGGTGAGGGTTAAAAAATGAACACATTTTTATGCAGAAACAATTGAGATGTGAGACTCTCCATAACACTGTAACACGGTCATAGGGGTGTGATTCTAAACACACATATCCAGCGCCGTGCTGGTGGTGCGAGTTTTCCGTGGCGTGCTGGGAGGGGGGGGGGGGGGACGGCGTTTTCGCGCCCCAGTCTAACTCGGCTCTCGGGTCATCTAGCGACACGCGGTAAACGGCACTTCGATAGTCAAAAATAATGAAGAAAATAATCCTGTCATTTTTAGATCATGTCAAAGATCAGGTCACCAGAGGTCATCAAAGGTCAAATTTTGCCTCTTTCAATAGTTTAAAGTTTTTGAAAACCGACGCATAACTTGGGAACCAAAAAGAGCCACTGCACCGCGAAAAGGCGCGTTCGATAGCCATTTTTAACGCTCTTTCGTAATGTGTCCTCAGATGTGACCTCAGGTCAACAGTTTAGCCTCTAGAGAGAAAAAAGAACTCCACAAATAACCGTTTTACGAAAATAATAGTGTATTTCTGTAATCACCTTTGACTCAATAGAGTCGCGACATTGCTGTTGGCAGCATCATAAAAAACATCATCGGCATTGAAAATTTTACTTAACCCGCGCGGGGCTGGGGTCTCCAGCCGAACGCGCGGGGCTGGGGGGGGGTAAATTTTACCCCCCCCTGTTATCTCCCGAACTAATGGTCCGATTTGGAAAATTCAAACGCCAATCGAAAGCTCTCATCACGAACTACTAAAAACATGTACTTAATTTAAAGTTTGAGGTCAAGGTCAAGGTCAGGTCAAGGGTACAAATTGCAAGTTTCTACAGTATCGGCCTTGCACCGTAGTTGCCGAAGAATGGAGTCATGGACTGAGACTGATCGCCCAAAACGTGTTCTTAGGCTACCAAGACAATATTCTTTGCATACAATATCATTCAGAGGTCAAGGTCAAGGTCAGGTCAGGTCAGGTCAGGTCACCAAAAAACAAAATATAGAAAAGGGCATGTGCGACACATGTTTTATGGGTCATTTTACTCATAGAATTCAATAGGCACACTCAATAAGTGA